CTTGTGTTGCATGCTTGGGTTGTGTTTATTGGTAGCATGTGGGTTTGAACAAGGAAAGCGTTCAGTTTTTTTTTGGGGGGGGGGGAGGAGAGGAGCCTGGGAGGGGAAGGAGAAGGTGGAGGGTGGGAGTTAATGGAAAAGTACAGTAAAGCACCTTCTGAGGTGAGAATAAGTAGTGAAGGTCTATTAGCAGTTGACGACAATTTACATGTATTACTTATGTAAAGATCAGCTCGCAGCAGGTAGAGGAGTGTGCTCCCATGTGAGCTGTCAAAGGATCTGTCTGCCTCCTGAGTGGGAGGGAGCATGGGAGTCGCTGAGGCTGAGGTTTTTTTCAATCCACAAAGGAGCGAGCAGTCTGAAGAAGAACGGCAAAGTGCTTCAGGTGGAACAGAAGAGACTGGCACGGCCTGAAAGCACCCAAATCCAGGAAGTATGGGTAAAAAGTCCAGGCAGTGAGCAGCCACAGGGGTGATGGGCAAGGTGATGGGGTTTTATGCTGGGTCTGGACGCTTGGAGGTGTGCAGAGCTGTGCTGGGAGTCTGCGAGGGTTGTCCCTGGGTTAGGAGCCCAGCCATGACCTCACGTCAATCCCATCTGCAGTGCTGGAAAGGAATAGCTATGGGCCAACACCAGCTTCTGCATCCTGGTTGTCAAAGTGTATTCTGGACTCTGAAAAAGCGCCCTTTTCAGTTATGCTCTCATTTTGTAAGTTGATACCCGACAGTGAGAGTCGCTCTGAGGGGTTTGGCCTGTTAGAGGGGCTGGAAGGAGTGGGTGACTCTGGATCAGGCCCTGCATCAGCTTGCTCCATCCTGGGGGAATCTGCCCTGGACTCCCCGGTGCAGTATGAGCCTGAGCTGGAGATAGCTCGGGAGCTGGTGGAGATAAGCTGCCTGGTGCGTAGGAATGCAAGTGTTTGCTGTTCTTGATGGAAAAACAAAGCCTGAACCGACGGGAGATGCTGATGAATGCATTGCCCAAAGTTTGCAAACCCAGGAGCCGAGTTTGCTGAGGAGGAAGGCAGCTTTTCCCGAGCGGAATGCAGAGTCTTGTGGCTGTGTTGGTGACGGAGATGCTGCCCGCTTGCCTGGCTAACGGCGGTGCTCAGCGGCTGCCGGCTGCCCGCTCAGACTCCCTTTTGCCATTTCAGCATCCCTTTGGGTAAGAGCCTTTTCTCTTTGCTGCCAGAGATCAGAACATCCCTAGGCTGGCATGAGCCTTGCAGACACCTCACAGCACAGTTTACAGAGCGTTTGGAGAGGCTGAGGCAGATGCAGTGCTGCTGCTCGAGCAGGCTCCGTCCGTGCCTTGGTCCCCACGCTGTGGTTGGACCCAGCGTGCTGTGTAGGTGGGTCCCCCCAGCATCAACTGGCTTGCTAACTGGTGAATTCTGGCTCAGGTAACAGACCTGCTCTGCCACCCTCTTGCCAGGAAGAAGGTACAGGACAAACAAACCTTGTCCCGTGCCCCGGCAGCACAGCGAGCATGCCAGCCAGTGCCCAAGGTGGAAGCAAACTTGTTTGACTGTGTTTACCTGGAGGGAGTGGGAAGATGGAGAGTGGAAAATCCCCAAATACAAGGCCGGAGGGAAAGAGGTTTCAGAATAGGGATTAAGGAAGAGGAAGAAAAGCACAGGCTTGGGGGGCGAAAGGGACTTTTTGTCCACCCCCTGACTAAGCCAAGGTCAAAGGGAAGGCACCTGGAGAAGGGAGCGGGGTCTGTGTTACAGTCAATTTAAGGATACAGTTTCTCCAGAGGGGTTCAGGGAGGGGAAGCAATGACAAGCCGATAAATTATTTCCCTTTTTTTCATCTGGATCTGTGCAAGTCCTGTGTTGCTAAAACCCTCTGCAGAGTCTGTCTTTGGTTTTGACTATTGCACGTGTCTGGTAACATGGGAACCGTTGGCTACAGGATGAATGAAGCCTCTTGAAGACTTAGCTGGTGCCTTGGGGGGACAGGTCGGGGTGATTTGGTGGTGGGGTTTGGGAAGTGGGTGCTAGTGCCTAAGGGATGCGCCCTTCAAAGGTGCTCCGAAAGATGCCGGAGATGAGCTGAGAGGGAGCACGGCGTGGTGCGAGACAGCGGCTCAGCTTGGGGAGTGTCCAGGAGAGGGAGCTGGATCCGGGACGGAGCAGCACGACTGGGAAATGCTGCACACGTGTGAGCAATAAACAATAAACGGCGCTTGCCGGAGGTGGGCCCCGATGGCTTGGAGGGCGATGGATCGAAACGGGAGTGGAGCGGTCAGGATTGTTTCGGGTTAGATGAGTTCTTCGTAAATTAGGGCTGCTGCCGATGGGGTTTAGTTGTGAAATGGTAACGTGTGAAATAGCAGCAGTGCAGCGCCTCGCGAGAAATCGATGTTCTGGGAGAAAACCGCTTTGGAGCCCATCTTTAGATGTGCACTTCATGCCAACCTGTAATGCAGTCTGCTGCTTTCTGACTTAAAAAGGCTGTACGGTATTTTGTACATGCAATGTGTACTTTTCTGCAATTGCTATAGTTTGTTTTACCTAATTTACCCTTTCCTTGTTTATCTTGCATACTGTGCATGGGTCTAATTTAGATTTTTTTTTTTTTTTTTTTTTTTTTTTTAAGTAAAAAACCTGCTTAGCAGTTATGGGTTGGGGCAGCAATTTCTGTAGCATTTGGGGTTGAATTTGATTAGCACTTTTGGAAAACTGCAGCAGATTGCAGTGCTAATCAAGGGAAATCAAGCGATAGAGCTTTAAGGCAGAGTTGGTCTGTCTTTTTTTTTTTTTTTTAAAAAAAACCACAAAAATTAAGATATTAAGTTATCTGAGGCTCAGAAGCATTATACTTCTGCCGGTTTCACATGTCAGGCTTTCTGATGCTGAACCGAATGTTGGTATATGAATAATCTAAAATATAAACCACTTAATTTGTGGTCCAAAACTGTTTGTTTAGTGTTGCTATCAGCTTTTCTCTTGTCCCTCCCTGTCCATAATTGAGTAAAATATTCTGTGTGTCTTTTATTAGTTTGTAAAATCTTTCACTGTGTGTAAAAGACGAATGGAAAGAGACGCAACCAACTAAACCCCCAACTTTATTGCATTAGCGCTGTGATTCAGAATCTGTTGAAATCAATGGGAACCCTCCCAGTGACCTCAGATATGTGTTGGATTGTGAGTTTTAGTGGTTTTTCAAATGAGAACAAAATACATGGCGTGTGTAAAGAGATGGAGTAACTGTTAAGTGGATTAACCAAAATCCACTGGAGACCTTTGCGTGTGTCTGGGGAGAATGGGACATTTATTTTTACTCCCTGGGGCTGCAGACTTTTTGTTGCTAGTCGAACTTCAAAGAAATGGGAATCCAGGCCTGAACTCGGGGAATAGTTTCACATAGACTTTCCCCCAGCGTTCCCAGTGAGAGGCACCAACCAGATGAACACCAGAATTTGTGTTTGCAGAATGACAGTATTCAGATAAGGAAGGAAGCAGATTTGATCATTAACTAAGGAGGATTGGGGGGAAACAAATTGGCCTTTTGCAAGACCTCTGGTATTGCTGTGTGTGACGTGGCTGGTGCTTGGATAATGTTTGAAAGATGGGTAAGTTAGCTGCTGGGAGCAAAATGTATGGAGCCTAATCAGGAAATGTTGGCCTTCATCATTTTTTTTTTTTTTTCTGAGAAATAGAGATTACTGCAGTTACGAACTGCAAATTGGTAACTGGAGGAGATTCCTGAAATATGAGATAATCCCTAGAAGCTGACCAGCTTTCTCTGTAGAACATCAAATTCTAGGTCTATAATCTGTAATTAAATTGCTTATGTGTTGTTAAAAAAAGCATCTGTCTGTTCTAAGATTGTCCAGTGCAAGAGCAGAGACACTATAAATGAAAGAGCTGTAGTGACATGTAAAAAGTAGCAATTTTGAGGACGGGAAAATATTAAGACTTTGTATTTCCAACCTACCAGGATGTGAGAGGATCCAGAAGGTCAGCCCATGGCATAACTACTGTATTCTGCAATTGCAATGTGTAACCATTAACCGTTACGCTGCCCAAAGAATTAAGGTGTCATTTGGACACCTCTTGAATTCTGCATATGCATTTAAGATGTCTGATTAACAAAATTGTAAAATAGTAAGTGTTTTCAATGTAAGGGAATAATCCAATACTTGATAGATGCACAGATAGCTTATGTAAAAATTGAGATATGTTGTCCTCTGAAGTCAAAGCCTTGCAGGCAACAAGCTGGTACCCGTCTGCCGTGGGTTATTTGATCTGGGAGCAGCAGACATTGTAGATCACCATCAACAACAAACCCCATGCTGGAGCTGTTGTCTATTTACACCGCAAAATGTTTTGTGAAACTGGAATAGGAGGGATCAGAAAATACAGCCGTGTCTTTGCTGCCGCGGAGCTGAAGGGAGTTCTGTGTGCTCTTGTGGCTGCTTCCACTGTGCTCCCCAGTATCTGTGCGTGAACTGAGGGTTTCTCGGTGTCTCCCTTCCAAATGCTTTTTGTAGAAAGGAAATTCTGTCCGAAAGTTTTGAAATTAATGCATTAGTCTCACTCGTACTCCGCAGTGCAATTAAGCTGTTTACCTCATCAGCATTAGGAGATGAAGAGCGTGTGTGACTAACCTAGGGTCACACAGAGTCTAACAGAGCTGGGCTGAGCCTCCTGTTCCTACATTAAGTCAGGTCACTCACTTACAGGGAGCTTTTCCCACAAGCACATTGTTGAGTTTGCCTGAAGCAAGTGGCATGTCCCTTAGAGCTGCTGAGGAGAAAATTATCTCAAAACAGACTCTGTGCCATTTCCTGGTGTGAAGGCAGAGACAGTATTTATAGAATTCCTCTGCCTTCTGGATCGTGGTTAACAGAAATGACTGTGTTGTATTTTAATGGAGATGAGGACATGGGAATAGACTCCTTTGCGAGGCATGAATGTACTTCTGTAGCTTTGGACTCATCAGCCTGGATGATTTCTAATACTGTTTTTCCCTCTCCTTGTTTTCCTCTAGTTGTGGCCTTCCTGGTGGCGTATCATCAAAACAAGCAGCTAATAGGAGAGAAGGGGCTGCTCCCTTGCAAACTCTACCTGCAGAATGTCAAAAAGTATTTCAAAGGGAAGATAAACCTGGATGCCCTGAGCTATGCACCAACAATCGTCTGGTTTCTGGATTGGTCTGACATGGACAGCACCCTGGACTACCTCTCCCTGGTTGGCCTGGCGACTTCAGCCTTTGTATTGGTAACTGGATGTGCAAACATGGTCCTCATGGCTGTCCTGTGGGTTCTCTACCTCTCCTTGGTCAATATTGGACAGATTTGGTAGGTTAACAATCTCTCTGCTTTGTTCTTCCTTGTAACCTCTTGCTGTTCATTGTATACATTGACTTTCTATTACCTTTTGAGGTTGGTAATCTGGTAAGGAGCAGTGTAGGAATGTGAGATAAGGAAAGCACGTGGCAGAAATGAGTTATGGGCATGCCTCTGCCCTCTTATTTGGGATATCTGCCCTGATTTCTGTTGTCCTCTGAGAGGCAAATTGGCTGTATAACATGCTATGCTTCACGGTGTCCTGCTGTGAAGTACTTTCCCTCACGGCTGTTGCAAGGGAATTCCCCTAATAATACATTTGAGATGGTTTCTCAATTTTTAGTTCTTTCCAGGAGAGGGCTGGAACACTCATGATAAGTACATAAAGCCTGTGGGGGAAAAAGTAAAGGAGAAATAGTGTCTGTCCACCTAACACCTTGCTGCAGGGAAAGGCTATGGTGCAAAAGGAAAGGGTTTAGGTGGTCCTCACATTTGTTAAGGCCCCAAATGCATTGGTTAAAAGAGCATGGACCCTTAGAACCCCAAATTCCATTAGTTCACCTCTTCAAGTACCTCTGCCTGTAGCAGAGGGGATGTGATAACTTTGGGAAGGGCAGAGGCTATGCCATGAAGAGGTGCCCAATCTGTGGACGTGATAAAGCTGTGTCACTGGGATGTTCCTCCCAAACCTTCTGGCTCTATAACACGTGATGGGACACCTTTAGAGATGGGCTCAGTGAATTTAATTTTAAGGATTTGCATGTGCTCGAGCAGCCCTGTGTCTCGTCCTGTCCCATTCATTCCTATCCTACTCCAGATGGTATGTAAGTGGGTGAAGCATTAACAGCTTCAGTTTTCTGAGAAGCCCTGTTCTCTGAGCTCTTAACTCAGCATGAACTTAAGACTGTGAAAGAAAGCCACAAAATTTGAAAAATAACTTGGTGGATAGTTTTCGGCTGCCCGTTGCCAAGTTATTCCAAAATCACTCGTCTATTTTTCTAGGTGTTTTATGTTACAGGGCGAGAATTCAATCATCGTCCTGCTCTCATTTCCAGAGATACAGGAGCCTGTGCCATTGTAGCAGCAAATCTGGATGTGTTGCTTGACGTCTTTCTCTTTGCGTTTGTTTGGGGGTGGGGAGAAAGGGAACCCCTAACAACCTCCCCCTCAAGCTGCTCAGGTTTTATAGCTGAAAGCTGGACCTGCAGTGACTCCTGAGGCTGAAGGTTTGCTCTGGCTTGCTCCTGATGTAGTGGGCTAAGTTGTTAGCATGACAGGCTTTCTTCATTAGTGCCCACAAGGCACTCTGGAGTGCCCGGTGCACTCGTGCTGTGGCTACAGTGGTGCTATGATGTTGTTATAGTTTTGATTTTAAATCAAGCTAGCTGGCGTGCGTTCTGTGTGTCTTGCTGGGCAGTCATGTTCTGTGCTCGTCCTGCACAAAACTTTTCCTGGTAGAGGCAGACTGAAGGCAGAGATGTGGTGTCTTCTCTGCCAGTTCCGGAGGGGTGACAGTCCTGCAGAACTCTTGAATTTTTGCCAAAAGAAATCCAGTTGTACCTGTTTTGAATGTGTGGCTGTTTTGTCATCTTCCAAGTCTCTAAGGGAGAGGCGAAGGGTAGGGGATAGAGAGGGGGGGCATTTTTCCACTGCTGCACTGAACCACCACCCGTGTCCAGCAGACCTTGTCCAGATCCTCTTCCTGGGGGGGGTTAGAAGCTCACGGCCCAGCGTCGGGTCTCTGCAGCTCTGAAGACAATGAGCTGGCCAGCAGGAATGCAAGCAGAGCACAGCGTTTGCCTTTTGTGGACACTGTGGTTGAAAGGAATTGACTCTAGGTATTTGAGATAAGGCTGTATTTTTTTCCTCCTTTGCTACTTCAGGCTGAGCGTTTAAAAGTTACCCTGGCACAAGCAGGTGGCTCCTGGTTATACAGCAACAACACACCAAGGGTCAGATTCTTCTGGGGAAGGGGTGAGAGAGAAAAAAGGGGGGGGTAGGAGACATTGCTTCAACTTCATCTCTTCTTAATTATGGCATCGAATATATTAAACAGGAAATTAGGTCCTTCATGTAAAGGGGTGAGGGAAAAGAATCAAAGCAACCCAGCGGTACAGTTCATTCAGCTGTGGTTACATTTTTCATTAGATCCTCTGAAATGGGTCACTGGGTGGTCAAAACCATATTATTATTGTGCATACAGTGTGACATTCAATTCCTTGGAGAAGGGGACGCTGGGTGGCTACGTACTTACAGTGCAAGTAAACATGGGGAAAGAGCAAAGAGGGGACTAACTGATTTCTCACTGTCCTTCAGGGAATTTTGCTTGCACGAGGGATGAGCTTAGAGTACCTGAAATCTCATGAATTCTGCTGCTGATTGTGGGTGGGTGGGTGGCAGCATTGCCCTTAAAACTAAAGCTGGCTTTAAAACTCCCTTTTCATCCTGGTTTGTAAGTGGGGTTAGATGGTCCTGTTAACTTTGTTTTACTCTCAGGTTTGGTCAGATTGAGAGGTTTTGATGAGTTCTGATTGTTCTCTAAAGCATCTGTTCGAAGACCACAATGACTTCTTATAACGGGGGAAAGCACAGCGTTGTCAGGCATTCCTGATCCGAGTTACGAGATAGCTCAGCAAAGAGGCACCTGAAATGAGGAAGAAATTCCTCCTGTGGCCACATCATTTCGTGGTTATTGTACGGTCTTTCTTAATGTTCCCTTTCAGCTGGCAGGCGTGGACTGCTGCGAGCCGGCACTGCTGGGCTGGGCATGGACCCGTGGGCTGACCCGATCCAGCAAAATCCTTTGCAGTAGTTGCCTGGGAAGCCAGTTCAGGGAAGATCTGGGGTGATAAGGAGGAATAGAGTTCTCTTCTTTAGACCAGTGAGGAACAATTTATTCCTTTTATCGCCTTTTCTTTTTCTATTTTAATTTTAAATGTTTCTATTTGTTTTGGGCTGGAGTCTCCAGATACCGGGCGCTGCTGAAGGAGCGAGTCTTTCAACTGCTGTCCAGCTGGCTTGGGCTCAGAGTCAGAGGAAGCTTTAGAAGAGCAAAACGTCTCCTTTGAAGGGCAGGACATGTTGCCTGCCTGCCCCAGTACTGCAGACCTCCACCTGTGAGCCGGGGAATATGCTGTGTGCCTGGGGAGAGCTGAGCCTGCTGTGACAGCACGGCAAGGGACCGGCTTAAAGGTCTTTGAGGGTGTTATAACCCTCAAGAAAACTGCTCCTGGAACAGGCTGATGTGAGCCGTTTGTGATGGATTTTGCAGGATAAGGGTTACTTTGGCAACCTAAAATCCTGAGAACTGGGGCCAGGATGTTGTCCTGGCCCTGAATTCTTGACTTCACCAGTTTACTGTTGGCTCTGCCAGAGCGTCGGTGAACTGTCTCAAATAAGATGCACTTCAGTGGGTCTCAAAACGACTCCAGCTTTTAGAGAACAGCACGTTAAGTGTGGTACCTGTGAAACGCGGGGCCAAGATTGCTTTTGCCACATTTGAACGGGCAATGCTCAGGGAAGCTTTTGTAATTCTGGGCACTCTGTTCCCAAAACAGCTGTGGTATTTGGGTATAATAGTGCTGCACTTGCATCACAGGCTCAGGGCGTCTGTGTTAAAATACTGGGATTTGTTTTCCCCTCTGCCATTTTGAACTTTTGAAGTAGAAGGAGACTTGTCAAGAATCCAAAAATCTGCCCGTGCAAAAGAATATATAACTATCTGATCTATATGCTGGGTGAAGTGCTTAATTGTTGTGTTAATTTTAGCTGTGATTTTCTTGTGATTTCAGCAGACTATGCCTAATTTCAGTTTAATAAGAATAATAGTAAAAACTGGTCCTAGTTTGAGTAGAACAGAAGCTATTTAATGAAGGTAAAGAAGCTTAAAAAGATTTTGTGGGAATTTCCCTGTACTTCAGCGTCCATTTTGCAGACTGTAAGTCCCGCTGGGCTAAGCTGAGTCACTGGAAGAACAGTGCAGCTCCACAGGTCCAAACTGAATGGCTTTGCCTTTCTCCCCACTTCCTCCCTCCTGAATATTAATATAATGGATTGTCATGCATTTAAACAAGAATGGGAAAAGCTGCCCCTTTGTTTAAAAGTAAAAATACTTGTTGCAGGTGACCCCGTGAAACCTCCATTTGTGGTTTTATTCCCTACGGTTTCCGCTGGGGCATGTGTCTGCAGAGATGGACCATTGGCAGTAGAGGTCCTTTGTTAGGACAAGCTCTCTGGGAGAGGTGTTCCAGCAGAAGTTAAATCATTTTTGTACCAGAATAACTAATGCACTTCTAAAGTGAATTTGTAATTCTGGAATAAAATCACTTTTATCCCACAGTAAGGTGTCTCCAGAGAGCTATTACATTTTCTTATATAAACAAACTTTTCAACTACTCTGCCACTGATCTCCTGTTTCTTCTTCTGTTGTTTCCTCACTGAACCAGCCCTCCGCCCCAGCATTTTCAAATGTCGTCTGAAAACCCTTCCTTTCCCTTGGTTATTGTGTTGTTTCATTTTACAAAGCATATTGCCCACTGTTAGAGAGCACTCAGTGGTACAGTTTGCAGGTCACTTGATACAAAAGCTAGAATTGTGGTTTTTTAAATCCTATTGCCTTTTCTTCTTTCGTGACTAAAATTCTGGTAGAGTTACAAGAGCTCAAGGGAATAGGTTAAACAAGCCAATAAATAAAACATTACAGCATGAGGTGGCTACAGTGTTCTTTTCGGTGTGTTCTTCCCTTGCAGAAAATGTTGGTGGAGCTACTACTAACAGGTATTTAGGGTGAAATAAGACTAAGCAAGGAATATGAAACAGAGCAGTGCTTCACCCCTGTACAGCCCCAGAGATTGCAGGCGAGTGCCATCCGAGTGTGCTCACGTGCCCTTGGTGGTTGCCAAGAAGTTCCAGATGCTGCAACACTTTTCTGGAGCGTGGAGAGGAGGACATACCTCTGTCTTTCTGGCCGCCCGGATGCCTGATGTTTATTCGCATTTAGCTGATTGAACATA